CGCCGATAGCAAACTACAATCCGTGGACCCAAAAGTGCTGTTATGGTAGAATAGTCTCCAAACGTTTCAGTTGCCGATTCAGATGTGGATTTAGAAGCTACAATCCACGGACCCACAAGTGCTGCTTTAACAGACTGGTTGTAAGGAGTGTTACCTGCCCAGTCAAAGCTTTTGCGGCCTTATCAGCTACAATCCACGGATCCAAAAGTGTTGCTATGGCAAAGTAATTTCTCTGTATTCTGTTTGCCAACTACATTACTAGAGGTAATTTTCCTGCAAGAATATTTAGAAGTAAGGTGAAGCTTAACCCAGTAAGACGTGCTTTGTCAAATGTGCTGATAGTAACTTAACAATGTAAAACTGACACGAAGAGAAAAATAAATTTATCATTTTTCCTCTGCAGTTGAAGATGTTATCAAAAAATGAGTTTTACGAAGGGCGGTATAAAACCGCTCTCAGTTCCCCAAATAGAAAAAAATGTGCACTCGTGCGGATGAGAAATGAATCTGATGACAAATAGATCCGTCAATAGGCCGTCGTCTTGAATTGTCGATCGTCTTATAACTCTTATGTCATGATTGTGGGTTTTATACCACAACCAGCTCTCCGTCTCGAAAACACACGCATTACGCAAGGGTATCAAAAACGAAGAGACGTTGGCCATCTTAATGTCTTTAAATATGCATCGAAGACGTTTTATATCACTGGGAAACTGTTTATAGAGATTGTATTGTTCTATTTTATGCTAACGGCAGTATCCGGCCAGAGGCAAGAGGAATAACAGATAAGATCGCGCTTTTCTGGTAATTATTAAAAGGTATTTAGGGGTTTCATTAAGGGCCGAGTACCGGGAAAATTGACCGGTTGTGAGGACAGTTTTGCCCACCTGGTTTGACGATCTGGAGGGAAGTTTATCTTGGAAAGAAGTTCAGTTAAAAAAGTTTTGCCTGCCTGTGAAAACAGTTTTCCCTCCTACTGAAAACATAATGAAACCCCTGGGTATTGTAGAACCGAGAATTACGGCGATAAAACTCAGTCAATCAAGATGTCGATGTGGATCGAATCACTCCCAACTTTTTCAAAGCACAACAGGGAGGGCCTTTGAACATAACATAAAATGAAAAGGAGTAACTGAGGTGCCCATCACTTTCTCTTCATGAGATTGTTTTTTTGATAAGTTAACAACATACAAACCTTATAATTCAGAAAGCGAAAAACCCCAAATTCAAAGAATCCTCAAGGTATGCATCACTTATTACTGATTTAATGTAATGTCACTTTACGTGAATAAAAGGATGAATGTTGATAGTTAAGTAGGCACTCTGAACATGTCACAGTCTTATCCTCTCTTGGAAAAATTGCACACTCCCAAACAAAATTAGCTGAGACACTTCTCCAGATCAACTTTACTGATCTTCTTTTGCCCCTCTCCCTTTCCATTGTTGATTGTCAATGTGTCCATGCAATCTTGAGGACCCACATTGGGAGGGGTAGGGGAGGCAGTAAATGTCACAGGAAATGTGTCTGGAAGTGTAGGTATGCCCCCACAAAATTGTCTATGATTCTTTCTGTGTCTGAATTCTTAGTATATTGCTAGGTCAAGTGCATCTGCAATCATAAATTTACACACGGTCACATTAATCACAGGTGCTATACCAACAAGTCCCTGTCTAGAATTACAACTATTAACAGGCACATCAAAATAATCTTGTCTAAGCTAAACAAAAGTTCCTAAAAAATCTTCTGGGTCCAGTTTTATTAAGGGTGACGTAGATAACGCTTTTGAACAGATATATCGCTACCGAACAGATAAGTGATAGCAAAACGTCTTGAACTATCCACCCGGTGCCTGATTCTTAAGGTTTCCTCAAATTTGGTCTGTGAGTGATGCGGTGTAATATTTCTTATTGTTAATTAATTGCTTAAAGGTCTTGAACATTTGCCAGAGCTGCCAGGATTTTAAACTTAGAAACTTCTTCAAAATTTCAAAGCCCTTAGTCAGGTACTTTCATCCTCTTTCCGTTAATAATATTTGCTAAGAGCACAGAAAGACATGAGCGATGACTTTTTGAATCAGGCTTGAAATATGCCATCTTTATGACCAGGCACTTCAGAACTTTCGGTTTTTCTCTTTCAGTGTTTTCGATACGCCTATGGTAATTGCCTCGTACAAACTCCTACTGGCTTCTTTCGTGTGTCATGTACTTTTTGCATCGTCAGTTCCCTCTAACAAAGCATGAATCATTCGATAGTCTGTTATGCCGACGTCGACCGCCATTTTGTTTACGGATGTCAGTTTTCTTCTCGTTTTTTCAATGACTCAAATATGTAAGCTTTTGAAGCAATTCATTATCATTGAGAAATAACTCGCCAAGGTAATTTCCACGATGTTAGGCTTCTTGTTTTTCCAAATACCCATCGATTCGCATCGAGTCCGTGTATTGAGACGGCGGCAACCAACTTCGCGTTTTCCCGCTCATTTTTGGTGGTCACGTGTAATTCTTTAAGCCAATAAGCAGCGGTCGTTCAAGGATTTCTTTTGAGTCGATTAAATCATGATTTCGCTGATTTTTTTTTTGAACTCAAATAGACTCACATCGTACCCAGGTACCAGTGAATTATTTTCATGTAGGGAAGAGGATGGAATCGACACGCGGTTAACCATAGTGAAGTCCAACAGTTTACTGAATAACGGGATCAACTTTTATTCCAATCTGTGCTACAAATTTCGGTCCCAGCTCTTTCTATTCATAGTTAATTCTTACAAAAGATCGTTCATATATATTTTGACGCGACCTAACTTCCCAAAATGAACTCAGTCAAGCACTCTCCGATAAGCAGAGTTTGATTTTTCCCGAGCAAATCTCTATAGTTAGGTAGTCAGAGTCGTTCGATTTTGATGTGAATTAGTTTACAATGAATCATAATATACTTCTTGATTTGATAAAGTCCAGGTTGCTATCGGTTGAAATTCGATTGGCTACGCTTAGTCAATATAAAGTTGAGTGGTTCGTAAGTCACAGTCGGTGGTCAGCGATAAACATGACTCGCTTAAACTACGACATTTTGGTGTTCCTCGCATGTTTTTCTTTTCTTGTGACAAATTTAAAAGCAGAAGGTGAGCACACTTCACCTCAGGAAAACTTGGTGAAAAGACATGCTGAATCAGGACCAGAAGACGACGAACATTTTGATAATATTTCAGCGGAAGACACTAAAGGTAAACGGTTACGAAATTTCCGCGATGTTTTCTCAGTGGTATTTAGCACAGACAATTTATATCTCAAAACATACCTATACATGTAAAGTGTTCACGGGATATTTATTTTTATCTGCCCTCACTGGCATACGTTTTCAGGATTTGTTTCTTTTAATACAACTAGGTTGTCTGCTTTTAAGCAAAACATAAATGGAAATATTTGATGCGGCGCCGTTAAGTCCTCAACTCTGATTTTACTCAGCACGGAAAATGAGTGGATTGTTCACATATTCTAGAGTCATTCGACTAAAAAATCCAAAATAAATTTTGGCATGTTTATTGTAACACGGAATTCGAACCATTAGAAACTATTCACCGTCCAAAACAACCTTAACGTGACAAAATTTCGAATCAAATTTTAGGTAAAATCCCTTCCCTGAGAGCCCTGAAAGATTGAAACTCGTTCTAGATTGTGGACCACTTGTTATGGAATCCAATACAGAGCGTTTTTCAGAGCAAAGTCCAGCAATAAGAGCAAAGGAAAATATCACGAGGAAACAATGAGACTGTAGTGCCGATTAAAGAGCACAACGAAACAAAACCAAAGCAATCCTTGATTACTTTGGACACTAGGGCATACCCTAATCATCATCAGGGCATACCGTAATCAAAATTACGGTATGCCCTGATGATTTCAGATCCCTTCAGCTAACAAAGCGAAACAAGTTAAAACATCTGGCCCTAATCTCTTTGCAGAAAAAGTCACTAGAGTGAAACGATCTCACTTTTGGTCTTGGACGAGCCGGAGGAGGTCCACAAACAGACGGTATTTCAAAACCAGGCCTCATTGTGAACACGAAGATCATGAACACTTTAGAACCCGTTGCTGCTCAGGAAAATTCATAGATAACATTCTACTACAGACATGCTGTGCTGGACGCATCGTATATAAAAACATGGTGCCATCTTTCTGTCACACGCATTATGGGTGCGGTCGTTTCTGGTACGATACCAACCGCCAAAAGTGCTGCTATGGCTCAAAAGGCCTAGACTGTCAAGATGTCCAACCAACGTGTGGCTTGACGCCATACAACCAAACAGCACAGGCGTGCTGTAGAGGCCGATACTTGTATGTGATAAGTACCCAGAAATGCTGTTACGGTCGTGTGATCTCTAGGGGAAGGACTTGTCGACTTTATAACAGATGAAGCACCGGTACGCGGTGAGCGAGTATCATAGAATAAGAAACAAAACTGCCTAAACGCGAAATATCATCATGGATCTAAGGACAAATCAGAACGCAACTGAGTAAATAAATTAGCCCGACCTGGTTTTTCTAAACGCGAGTGACCAAATTGAGATTGAGTTTTGTATTTCTTCCAGGCTGATGTTTTATTAATCTTAAAGTGTGTCGCGAGCTTTCTAGGGACGAATCCTTATATTTCAGTCAAGCAAAACTAATGTAATCCCGTATCACTTTGAACACTTAATAAATGATTATTCTATTGGGTTACCTAAATAAAGTGAACTCGTGTTTAGAGGACTTAGACGGTGTTATCCCAATCCTGCCGCGAACCGATCTCGCTGCGATTTCGAATTCTTATTAAAAGTTTTCTTTCTTTTCTCCTTTGCATTCTTCTTCTTTTTCCACCCACTCCCTTTTCTTTACCG